CTATGGTTGCATCTGATCTATAACTTGTTTAGTTTGGCCAGTACTTTGAGTCAAAATTTTTAAAACTTCAAATTTCTGGCTCCTCTTAGAAATCTGTGTCTGGGCCGGGGAGATAGCCCAGTAGAACAAGTACTTGCCTGGCAAGCGCAAGGTCCTGAGTTCAATCCCCAGTACCACCAAAAAAAAAAAAAAAAAAAAAGAAATCTCAGTGTCTTACAACCTTGGGCCCAGATCCAACTAGACAGCAACTGGCTAAAGCTCAGCAGTTTCTGTCTTTAGGAGGTTTTTTTTGTTTTGTTTTGGCAGAACCAGGGATTGAACTCAGGCCCTTGCGCTTGCCAGGCAAGCACTTATTCTACTGAGCCATCTCCCTGGCAGTTTCTGTCTTTAAACTAGACCTGTTTTATTCAGATGCAAAGTTCCCCTACCAGAAGCAACATTCTCTGACTGACGCAGTTTCAGCTGCCATTTATCATACTTTCCCTGTTATGGGTTTTTTCTTTCTTTTTGAGACAGGCTTTTTCTATGCTGTTTAGGCTGGCCTTAACTAGGCAGCCATGGCAAGCCTCAAATTACCTGTGATCTTCCTGCCTCCACCTCTTGAGTGGTAGAATTACAGGTGTACCACATCAAACCTGGCTGCCCTGTTTTTTCTAATTGTTTTTCTAATAGAAGGACAATTCTATTTCTCTTTACCCATGCTTACATCAACAGCAGAAAAATGAGTCTTGAGATGTTTCAAGGGGGAAAAAAAGCAGCATTAGTTCTCCTTGGGAGTGAGAATTTCTACATAGGTAATATAAAAATAATGCAATTTAAACCTCAACGTGGTGGCTCACACCGTAACAGCAGCACTTAGGAGGCTGAGGCATGAGGATCACTGCCAGTTACAAGCTAGACTGAGCTACATAATAGTCTAAAGCCTGAATTCACAGTGAGACCCTGTCAATCTCCAAAACAAACAAAATACAACTTAAAATGCCACTGCAAAATCTCACTAATGGTTTCCACAGATAAATATATGAACAACTGAGTTAAAAAATAAATACAATTTTAACAGGTGTTACTTTTGAACGCCAATAGGATGTTGCAAACAGCTGCTTGTCGCCCTTTAGTTACCTGCTCAGGCGGAACTGAGCCCCCAGGTCTCATCAGGCACATATCCATAATGCCAGCATTAGCGCTGTTAGCTAAATGATTTGCGCTGGAAAACAAAAACTCGGTAACACTTATCCTTAAATGTTATTATTACAAAGTTATGAGGGGAGAAAAGGTATGGACATTGACTTCACCGGAGTGGAAAAAAATTCGTTCATTTTGGACAAGGAAAAAGAAAACGTGGGAAACGCCAACCTCACGAGGCTGCAGTCCCGCGGGACTAGAGCGGACTGAAAACAGCTTTAGTTCAGAGCCAAGGTGTAATTTTGCCCCTCACAGCGCCCACAAGTCGCGGGCTGAACCTCTCGTTCGAAGGGACACCGCCCTACTAGTTTAGGACCCGCCTCCACCTCCTAGCGAGCCTGTTGACCGCACCGTTACTAAGCAGCTATGCAGAGCACTATGGGAAACAGACGGAAGCCTCAATGAGTCAGACTTCATCAGCGCGAACACTCCAGACGTAGCAATGGCGTAATGCAGAGAATCGTAACGAAGAAGGAGACTACGGAGCACATTAGGGCTAGACGGAAGCCCCGGCAGGCCAAAACCTAAGCAGCGTACAAAGTTCAGAGGCACCAGCGATTTGAGGAGGCGGGGCTGGACACTAAAGAGGCTATGACGCGCAGGGCAGTATGGGACAGTGTGGGCAACGTGGGGCTGGACGGGTGCCCCAGAGGGTCACATCGCAGCGACGCGGGAAGTCTGGACTAGGAAGCAGAAGAGGATTTGTGTGGCAGCCGAGCCTCGGGCTCCTGCGTTGGCCATGGCTGAGCGGCCCGAGGACCTAAACCTGCCCAATGCCGTCATTACCAGGATCATCAAAGAAGCAGTGAGCTGCTAGGGCAAGCGGGTGGCCGGGGGCGGACAAAAAGGCCGGAAGGAAGCGGGTCCTGGGCCAGGCAGCTTTGCTCATCCTAGTTCTCCTCGCAGCTCCCAGATGGTGTCAACATCTCCAAGGAGGCCAGGAGCGCAATCTCCCGCGCAGCCAGCGTCTTTGTGCTGTACGCCACATCCTGGTGAGTGTGGTAGAGGAGTGAAGGAGGCGCAGAGGGACCCCTTGGCTGGAGCCCACAAACCCCAGTCATTGTGTCCAGTCTTAGCGGGGGGAGATTCAGTCTTCCTCCAGTTTTTAACAATTTGTGAGGCAGATTAAACAACAGAGCAACTGCCCCAGCCTTTTTTCTAGAGGACAAAACGCCGTGCACCTAAGACATAATAGACAGTCCCACCCACCTTTAGATGATCCTTTCTCACCAGTGTCACACAGCACGGGGGCGGGGGTCTAACAGACCCAATGGCTTTATTCTTATTTTTTCAGTGCCAACAATTTCGCGATGAAAGGGAAACGCAAGACACTCAATGCCAGTGATGTGCTCTCGGCCATGGAAGAGATGGAGTTCCAGCGGTTTATTACTCCGTTGAAAGAAGCTCTGGAAG